TTATTAATTATTTCTGCCAGTCTTGTGGAGGACAGATTAGAGAGAGGCAGGGAGATCAATTAAGAAGTCTAATGTAACATATAGTCCAAGTGACAAGTGATGAGGGTTTCAATTAGGGTAGAGGCTCTGTGAGTAAAAAGAAGGGGCCAGATTTGAGAGATGTGAAGGTAGAAATGGCAAGATCATGTACTTGATTAGATATGTGGAGTGAAGGAGAGTGAGGAGTTTAAGATGATACCAATGTTTCAAATCTAGAAGAGTGGAAGGATGGTGGGATCCTAAATATACTAGTAGTATCCTAGAGAAATTTTTGAGAGAAGTGAGTTCAGGGTGAAAGTTAATGTAATGAGATCTATGCTCCTTGGTAACCCATCCATGCCTGCTTATTCTGTTCAACTGGCTGAGCCACTGTAAATGAAAAGTGGAGGAATAAGGGCTCTTATCTGGCCATTACTCCTAATTCCAAGAGGTAATCTTGGGAGACATGGGTGAGTAATCAGTGGTATGCATGTGAAGGTACTGTACATCTGCACAGCAGTAGGTACTCAGGTAGTGGTTAGCTTATAATTGCCTGTAGGAGCCAATTTTTCTTCTCTCCTCACATTCCCCAAGAAGGAAAGGCTGGGAATTTCCACAGTAGAAAAACAGGGTGCAGTAGAGGAATGTTGGGTAGAAAGGGTAAAGATAAGTGTAACTGGAAAGAAGCCCCACAATGGGCCATCAAAGGGAGAGTACATCTAACAAACATTTAGTTGATGACACATCTCTTGGTGTAAGGCCACAGTCCCCCAGTTGGCCCCTATCCTTACTTTGAAGACATTGGCACAGATAACCATCATGTACTTACTTCAGAATTAACAAGACAATTATTTGTGGGTGATTTAGAAATATTCTTAATACAATGGTGGCATAACAGAAAGGAATGGAATCGGAGTCAGAAGATTTGAATTTGGCTCTCCTGAATGTCACTCTAGTAGCAGTTTGAATCTGGATAAGTAATTTCATTTCTAGAAGTCTATATCTGCTGAATATCTGACATAGAATTGTTGTGAGGATCAGAGAGTGTAGTCAAAATACTTTGTAACTATATGATGTAATGTATTTTTGAAGCTATCACCATGGCTAGGCACAAAGCCAGTTCATTTTTAGAATATAGGGGCCCTAATCTATTCAACTCATATTTCGGAAACCTATCCCACATACCTTACCCAGTAAGTATTCTGTAATAGATAAATAATAGCTTATTACTTTCTAAGTTGTCAGTAACTAGGAGGTTAAAATGATGATTTGAAATAATTCCTGCTACTTCTGTCTTATCCAGTGATAGCTGGCAAGATACTGTAACTAATTTCTATGCCTGAAAATATCAGTATTATCTTGAGATGCAAAAACACCACGTCTAATTTCCTGTTCTGTCCCTGTAAGTAATCAGATAAAGTATAAAAAAAAAGTAAGAAAATCAGCTGCTTTCTTTGTTACCTACAATAGATTTAGGTATCAATGTCAGACTATGACCTGGGAGGGACCTTAGAAATAATCTAATCCAACCCCCACATTCTACATATTGAGGAAACAAAACTCACAGAAGTAATCTACCAACAAGCATGCATTAAGTGTCTACTATCTGCCAGGCATTCAAGTATCAGAAAATTATTGTCTCATAAGAACTATGAGAAGTAGGCAGATCAAATACCATCACCTCCTTTTTGCAGATGAGAAAACTGATGCTCTGAGAGGTTAAGTGATTTGCCCATAATCACCTAGGGTAGTATCTGGGGTGGGATCTGAATTGTGGTTTTCAGATTCCAAATTCAGCACTCTGTATATGTACTATACCAGGTTACTTCTCTGGTTGTGTGTCACTTAATGTTATACAGCTAACAAATGGGAGAAATGGAACCTGAATCCAGGTTTTTTAAAGTTTAGTGTTCCTTCCATGCTGTCACAAGTCAGAAAATCCTAGGTCCTGATTCTGCCATTTATTGTCTGTGACCCTCAAAAAAAAAATCTTTTTCTCTTTGGACCAGACTCCTTCATCTGAATTGAGGATACTACAACTACCCCTAAGAGATGTTACAGGAAAAGTTTTATAAACCACAAAACATCACAGAAAAGGTGAATAATATCATTGCAATGGGTGTTTCTTCTTTCCACACAGAAAAAAACTGCTTCATGATCCAAAGACATCTTCCTTCCTTTCATTAGTTTTTAGTTAGGTGAGCATGGGCAAGTCACTTCTTTAACTTATCTAAACTTCCATCTTCCTCAATTATAAAATAGGCATAATACAACTTGTTGCACCTGCCTCATAGGGTTCTTGAGACGTTATACATATAAACTCTTAGCAAACTTTAGAGTCCTCTCACTTGAGCACGACAAGGCATCATGTTCTAAGGGAAGAATAATAAAAGAGGAACCAAAGGTTCACAATCTGGCTCTGCTTAGTCATTTCTTTCTGGGCCTCAGCTTTTTTTTTTTTTTTGAGGGGGGAGGAACTCAGGATTGGTTGGACTAGATGGCCTCTAAGATCCCACAAAGGACAAGTCCATCATGCTTTGTTTCCCTTAGAACACAAAAGCTTTAGGCACTACAGTTAACCCACTTCTGATAAGACAACATAGCATAATGTCAGTACACCTGGGTTCAAGTCCCAGATCTATGACTGTGCAAGCCACTCAACCTCTCAAAGCCTCATATGCAAAGTAAAAATATAATCTACCTTAATGGGTTGGTATGGTAAAAGCATTCTATAAATCTTAAAGTGCTTCTAATTTAGAAATAGGAGTTATTAGTAATAATTGACACCCAGCCATCAAAATGCAGGATCATAATATTATAAAGCAGGATCTCAGCTACCTATGACAACCACTCAGTTACCAGACTAAGAAAACCTCCACAACTCAACTTTAGACTGTTCGATTGTTTATTATTTCACAGACAAAAGTCCATTTCCAGCCAGTCAAGAGTTAACACTGCATTAACTGGCTCTGGGTTCTTTCTTGCTCCTTTCTGCCCTAAGAGTGTGGTTTGCTCCACCGAGAGCAGAGCAAAGCCAATTACTATGAAATTCTCCAGATTCTCAAGTGTTTGGCTAAAATGACCTCTGCAGCTTCTGACTCTATCAGATAGGATCTATAAATTACGATCTAGTGGACTTAATTCTCTACTGGAAAAGGCCTAGTTAACTATTTAATAATCAACCACATTTGCACACTGTCAAACATACATCACCATTCAGACTAATTCCAAATGGCTATCCTTCACCAGGCAGAAAATTACACTCGGGATTCTTGATCTGTAGCAATGTAGCCCCACAATGCTCTGCCTCTTTAGAAAGATTCTGTGGGAATAAAATGGTGCCCAGGAGAACTAAATACAAGAAAGAAAATTTGGAAACAAAGTAAGGGGTGGGAAAAAACACAAAGGAGCACAGAAACTAGGGACAAATAGGATCATAAGACTTAGAGCTCCAAAGGACTCAGATGCAATGTAGACCAATACCCTGGGTTTTATACACAAGGAAACTAAAGTTGGTTCAGAGAGGTTAAGTGACTTGTCCAAGGTCACGTAGGGAGAATATGTACAGAAATGGGACAATCAATCCATGTTCTTCGACTAAATCTAGCACTGCTTTAACGTGTTATAATAAGACTACTAGACTATGTCAGTAGAAAGATTTAATTCTGACACTACAACATAACAGCTGTGACCATATTCAAGTCACTGGCTTCTCTGCCCTCAGATTTCTCATCAGTAAAATCCATATACTTACTATACTAATCTTGAAGGGTTATTATCAAGATGTAATTAGATAATGTATGCAAATTGCCTTGTAACCATAAATCAATTATTATTCTAATACAGCAAAATTATTTTAAACCTAAATACTATTACAGAAAGATTTATAATGGTGTTGTGAAAAAGAGTATCAGATTTTTGTTGGTTTTTTGGCTAGGCAATGGGGTTAAGTGACTTGCCCAGGGTCACACAGCTAGTGAGTGTTATGTGTGTGAGGCAGGATTTGAACTAAGGTCCTCCTGAATCCAGGGCCGGTGCATTATCCACTGCACCACCTAGCTGCCCCTGAGAGTACCAGATTTTTAACCACAGGATCAGTGTTTGAATCTTAACTCTACCACTTACTACCTGTCTGATCTTGGCCAAGCTCCCTCCCCTCTGTGGGCCTCAGCTTCCTTATTTGTAAAAAGAGAAGGCTGACCTAGATGAATCAACCAACAAATATTTTCAAAGCATCTAATATGTGTCAGGCATTACACTGGGGGACATGAAGACAAAAAAAAAACACCAAACCATCCCAGCTCTCATGGAGTTTATACTCTATCAGGGAAGACATGTACACATTTAAGTATATACAGAATACAAAGTAGTTTAAGGAGAAAGGGCACTAGTTGTCAGGGAAAATTAGCAAAGGTAAAATGTAGGAAATGGTGCCCAAAATGAGTCCTGCAGGAAATAAGAGAGTCTATGAGGCACAGGTGAGAAGGGAGTATCTTCCAGTAATGGAGGATGGCCAGTATAAAGGCACTGAGACTATATATGGAGTGTCATGTGAGGAACCATAAAGTACATGAAGGTTATTATATATAATAAATTGGGAATATAGGTTGAGGCCATGTTGCAAAGAGCTTTAAAAACCAAAGAAAGGAGTTTATATTTGATCCTAAAGGCAATAGCCATTGGAGTTTACTGAGTAAGGGAGTAACATGGCTAGATCTGTGATTAAGGTAAATGACTGGCAGCTGGGTGGAAGATGCAATTGAGTGGGAAGAGACCCAAAGCAGACAGGCTCAAATAGAAGGCCATTCTGAATAGATATAATTAACTTTAAATTGGGGGTCCTACTTATGAATATATGCCAGCCCACACAAATTAAAAAGGAAAAGATCACAAGATGTCAGAGACAGAAGGGACCTTAGGGCTCATCTAGTAGCTAGTTATGAACCTGGAAGGTAGGGGGTAGAAGGAGATTGGAAAGGTACCTGTAAAGAGGCATGATGGAGAATGAAGTCTGGAATCAGGAGTGGAGCCTGAAGAAGAATGAACATGATTAGCATGGGCACTTTTCCTTAAAATGGAGGTTCTGGGGAAAACTGACCAATTAGAGAAAAGGGTGACAGATAAAGGGATCTTCCAAGGTAAGAAGTGGACAGGAATAATGGGAGTTTTCAGATTTTGGGGACAGTTTTCTCCCGGTTCTCCTACCTGGTTCTCTCCTGTGTGACTACTCAATTTCCTTTGCTGAAATCTTCTTCTAGGTCATGTCTACTTACTTGTAGGTATCTCACAAGTATCAATCAGACCACTCCTCAATCTCTTTTGCTTGATCTTCACAAAAGTCACACCCTCTAACTGTAAGTGTCCAACAGAGCTCTGTCCTAGGCCTTCTTTTCTTCTCCTTCTACACTAAGTCACTCTGTGATCTCATCTCTATGTGGATGATTTTCAAATCCACCTACCCTGCCCTAATCTCTCTGCTGACCTCTAAATCTTGCATTTCCAATTGCTTTTCAGATATCTTGAACTAGATGTTCAGTAAACATCTTAAACCCAACATGTCCAAAAGTGAACTCATTATCTTTCCCCCTAAACACCATCTGTCTCCTTCCACTTTCTTAATAGTGTCAAGGGTACCACCTCAAAACTCAGGTTTCATACTTGATTCAACACTATTTTCCTTTCCCCCACCCCATATCCAATCTATTGCCAAGACCTGTTGAATTCACCTTTGAAATCTCTCAAATACGCTCCCTTCCCTCCTCTGGTACTGCCACACCTGGTGCAGGCCCTTATCACCTCATGCTTGGACCTCTAAAGTAGCCTATTAGGGGGTCTTCCTTCCTCAAGTCTCTCCTTATTCCAATCTATCCTCCATTCAGTCACCAAAGTGATTTTCCTAAAGTCTAGGTTCAACCTTATCCCACTTTTCCAGTCTTCTTATACCTTATTCATCACCAGCACGTACTCTTTGATCCAATGACATCAGCCTTCTTGCTGATCCACAAACAAGACATTTCTCTCTTGGTTCCAGGTATTTTCTCTGGCTGTTCCCCATGCCTGGAATATTCTCCCCTCATTTCAGCCTACTGGTTGTTTTGGTATCTTTCAAGGATCAATTAAAATCCCATCTTCTACAGTAAGCTTTTCCCAATTTCTCAATTCTAATGCCTTCCCACTTTTAATTCTTTCCTATTTTTCCAGTGTATATAGCTTATTTGTACATATTTGTTTGCCTGTTGTTTCCCCTATCTGATTGTGAGTTCCTGGAGGTCAGGGGCAGTCTTTTCCCTCTTTTTGTATCCCTACCCACTGGCACGTAGCACAGTGTCTGGTACATAGTTGCTGCTTAATAAATGTTTATTGGCTAATTTGAGCCTGTTCCTCTATACTACCTCAATGATCTTATCAACTTCCATGGATTCAATGCAGATAATTCTCAGATCTATTTATCCATCCCTAATCTCTAATCTTACATGGCTAGCTGCTTACTGGACATTTCAAAATGGACGTCTAGTAGATATTTCAACAAGCCAAAAGAGCATTTATTTTTCTTCCCAAGCCCTCTCACCTTCCTGATTTCAGTATTACTGTCCAGGCCAGCACCATTCTCCTGGTAGCCCAGGTTTGCAACCTCAACGTCATCCTTGACCCCTTGTTTGTACTCACCTCACATATCCAATCTGTTGCCAAGTCTACCTTCACAACATCTTTCCTAGAAGTTTCTTTTTCTCCACTTACATAGCCACCACAATGACGTGGCCCTTGTCACCTCATGCCTGGAACACTACAAGAACTTTATGGTTCATCTTACTGCAACAAATCCCTCCTCATTCCAGTTCATCCTTCAATCAGCTGTCAGTGATCTTCCTATGGCATAAGTCTAACCAAGTTATCGCTTCCCTACTCAAATTTTAATGGATCTTATTACTTCCATTTTATACTTTCCTCAACTGTAAAATTATGATAATAGCACCTACTTCCCAATGTTGTTGTCAGGATCAAATGAGATTTCTGTAAAAAGCACTTGGCAGAGTGTCTGGCTATCCAGTATCAAATATAAAGTTTTGTTTGACATTTAAAATCCTTCATGCCCTGACCCCTTCCTACTATACCTTGCCAGTCTTTACATTTTATTCCTCTTATGATGGGGACATTGGCTTTTTTGCTGTTCTTCTCACGTGATACTTCATTTTCTGACTCCACAAAAGTCACTTAATCTAAAACTCCTTATTTCACAATAGGAAATGAGCCTGAAGAGGTTCGAAGGGAACACAATGGGGCTGCTATGCCCTTCTTTAAGTTACCTAATCCAAATGACTGAAAAAAAAGTTATTCCCCAATTACAGCGATATGAACTGGACCTGTGATTTCACTGATATAGGGAACTCTCAGATGAGAAAACTCCTTCTAGCTATGTAGGTCAGCACCTTCACAACTTATAGTCTTAAATTTGCCTAAAGCACTTGAGGAGTGAAGGAATGTGCCAGTATCAGAGGCAAGTACTGAACCCCACTCTTCCTGGTTCCAAGATCAGCTCTCCATCAAGGACACAAGGACGTCTCCCAAGTTATGCCACTTTAAAATACTCCAATAATTTATATTTTCCATTTCTCTCTCTTCTAGACATCATGGCTCCCGGTTAGTCAGGAAGCTATGATTGATGTTAAACTTCAATAATTTAGAGTAATTGTAGGTATATCATCTTAAGTTACTCATTTAAGTGTGAAGGCTAGTAGTCACTGTGTGACCAGTTTTTTATTATCTATTTTTAAGGGGTGTTGGTATATTAGATAAGAGGCAGAAGATGCAGGCTCCTTTCTCAACTCTCCTATACTAGGTACCTGACTATAGACACTTCCCTTTCCCTCATATTCTTTCATTTAATTCATCTGTAAGATGGAAATAATATTATTTGTATTGCATAATTCATGGGATCATAAGCACTGCTCTTAGTAAACATTAAAATGCTATGAAATAGGAATTATCTCTAACATTACATGACTTTTTTAATCCAAGCTCTCTTGACATCTAAACACAAAAAGATGCCATCCTTCACAAAAATATTCATCACAGATTCCATTAAGTAGAGCAGTGCTTCAGACCATAACATAATATGTTCTTGCTAGTAACAGCTAGATTTCAAGATTCACAAAGCATTTTTTTTCACAATGGCTCTCCAAGGCAGGCAATGCAGTAACTATTATTCCTGGTCATAGTTAAGAAAACTGCTGTAGTTTGGGGGTGGGGGGTGGCGGGAGGAAGTTCACAGGGGAAAGAGATTTGTCCTTCGCCATACAGATGGTGGGATTTGAACCCAGGTCTTCTGAATCTAATCTAGTATTCTTTCTACTATTAAGTAATTAATGCCACAGGATTTCTCTAACAAAGCCTTAGGATACTGATTCCTTGGGCATGGTAACAGCCTTGTTTTTTAGGCTAAAATTTTAAAACAGGACTTTATCAATCAGATATAAGAAAATCTCTTCACTATTTTTTCCCATTAAAAAGTCAGACTATGGGGGGCAGCTAGGTAGTGCAGTGGACAGAGCACCTGCCCTGAAGTCAGGAGGACCCGAGTTCAAATCCAGCCTCAGACCAAACACTTGACACTAGCTCTTTGACCCGGAGCAAGTCACTTAACCCCAACTGCCTAAAAATTAAAATTTTTTAAAAAAAAGTCAGACTATAATCATAAACTAGAGATCATTAATGTGGCTCTGCATGACCTAAAATGGGATAAAAATGCAAAGTGATCAAGAAAAAACCCAGAAAACCCTATTATGCACCATTTAAAATGTAAGTTTATTGACCTGATTGGACTAAGAATCAGTAAAATCTCTTACTATAACCTTTTTTTCTCTTTCCTCTATCATTGATAATAGCTGATTAACATAAATAATAAAAAAGATTGGATTACTTCACTCCCTTAACTCAAAAATCTCCAGTGGCTCCCTATTTCCCCTAGGATATAACACAAATCATTTGCCCAGAATTTTAAAGTTCTCCATGAACCTACTTATCTACATTTCTGGTCTTCTATTTATCCCCTTTATACACTCTCCATTCCAGTTTAACTGGCTTACTAAGTTGTTTCCCTCCATCTCCTGCCTCACTGAACTGCAGACTAATTGCTTATCTGTATAGTTAAGGGGAATTTCCTCACTAGGAGTTCCTACACCAATAAGATCAGGTCTTGTAGATAGATATAGGGAACCCCTAGTGAAGGAACCTTCCCCATGTAGATCAGCAACTGCTCTGCTTCTTCTAATGTGTGTGTATGTCTTTTTGCAAAAACATGTGCTCACTTTTTTTCCAAAACACTATTTTTCTTTTTCTTTTGGCTTTCAACATTCATTCTTATAAGATTTTGAGTTCCAAATCTTTCTCCTTCCCTTCCTCCCCACCTCCCTGCCCAAGATAGCAAGCAATATGATATAGGTTACACATATACAATCATATTAATCATATTTCCACATTAGTCACGTTGTGAAAAAATCAAAACAAAAGGGAAAAGCTACGAGAAAGAAAAAACAGTGAAACAGAAAAACAGTGAAAATAGCATGTTTCAATCTGAATTCAGACTCCATAGTTCTTCCTTTGGATGTGGATAGCATTTTCCATCATGTGTCTTTTGGAATTGTCTTGGATCATTGTATTGCTGAGAAGAGCTAAGTTTATAATAAGTTGATCACTGCACAATGTTGCTGTGTTCCACATTATCCTGATTTTGCATTTCACTTTGCATCATTTAAGTCTTTCCAGGTTTTTTGGAAATCTACCTGCCTTTCATTTCTAATATATGCTCACATTTCTGTAACACTTTATAGTTTACAAGTTGCTTTCTTCTTAATAACCTTGTGAGGTTACAAATATTATTACTATCACATTGAACAGGGAGTTGGATTCTGAGGTAAAAAAAGATAAAACAAAGGTTCAGAAAGGGGAAGTGATTTATTGAAAGCCACCCTGAGACTCAAATCCAGGGCTTCTAAGTCCAAGTTCAGTTCCACCATACTGCCTTTTATTTTTA